TACCGTATGGCCGTCCGGGATTGGAGCTCCGCGCATCTGACAAACAAGGCAAGCGTGCTATTGATAGGATGATAAAGCCACCGGCATTCAATCGCGTCACATGATCTGATGTCAACTCGATTGAACACTCATCCTCCTGTGCTGGCGCTATCACTCTGGTGAGCCCACACCAACAGGAGGGAAGCACTGGGCTCGAGTTTCGCTCTTTTTGGAGCTCATCAGCAGTTCATATCGTATGTCCGTCCGGGATTGGAGCTCCGCACATCTGACAAACGAGGCAAGCGTGCTACCGTTACTCCACCAGCGCACCCTAGACTCATCCGAACAGGCGCGAACATTAGAGCCTCTGGTGCTACCTACTTGGGAAGTCCTGACTGGCGGACCGATCGATCTGCACTTTACTGGGTCGTCGTCGTTCGAGGCATCTGGTGTTTGGCTCACTCAAGCGCAAACATGTTCACCTATTCACACGTAAAAGCGTTCGCTGGTGGAGTAGTTGTAACACGCTTGCCTCGCGTGTCAGATGTGTGAAGTTCATTTTCCCCATTCATTTGATTGCTCCACCCGTGCACTTTTGATCTTCACCTATTTTGGTCCTCGATATCCGCACCATCTGTCACTAGTGTTCTAGCATGTGTCGCTTGTACGTCACCGACCTAGTTACCCATGTCTGATCGTTCTCCTTCTGCTGGGTCTGCTCTGACTTGCACCGCCGTGTCATAGCACCGCCAATCAGAATCACGAGACTGACCTCAGAGGGGATGCTGTAATTCACACGGGCCCTTGACATTGCACTGTGTCTATCAGTGACGAACTGGTGTACGCGTTGGCTCTGCGAACTTGAGCAACAGAGGTTTGCCTCTGTGTAGATAATACGGTAGGTAGACTTTCGAACCCGATTCTTTTGATATTCGGGACCGTCATGCCTAGGCGCTTCATATCGGGAATGTCAACACGGGACGACTGACCCATCGATTAGCATCTACCAAACGTGCTGGTAGTCAGTGAGTCAACCGGAACAAGGTTACCTGAAAACACAAACCAACGATATGGTTTGAAGCTTTTTAGGATATATTGAAAGACTTATTTCGTCTCGTCTATAAGTGTGTCTCAAGTGAAGAAAAATTATTCACTATAGATGGCGTCTCAAAGCCATGCTGCGCTACACAGACAAAAAATGTCGACCATGGCTTGTCAGCTATAGGTAATGCAGATTGGTGAGCGCTTAGCTCAAAGCCGTCAGTCAGCAAAACACCATGGCTCTACAGGAAACTAAATTCAGGTTCAATATTTAGACCAGATGACATTAATTAACGTCAAAAGTCGGGGGTGAAGACAGGTATGCTGAGGCACGAAAAAGGGGTGAACTGTCATTTTGGCCAGCCTGTTGGAATGGCAAACTATATTTTGCCGCACTCAGCATCCCCGTGCACCGGTAGTTCCCATCAAGCACACATTTTATCGGCTCGGTTTGTTGTCTTGTTCGGACGGTTTCGCTGTCAGGTTTGAAAAATGACTTCGGCTAGTACAGTGACACGACCGACCTCACATGACTGTCACATGTCAATTGGACATCGAACGCCAGCCACGTAAGTGAAAGTGTAAGTGAGAGATTCAGTTGCGTCTCTCGTGAAAGCCAAATAGATTTGCAAATGAGTGTATTTCTCAAAAGCAGTGCAATTCGGATTCAAGTAAATCATAAGGTTGACGGAAACTCGGGGACTGCGCCTACGTGATGAGCCCCCAGAAGGGTGAAACTGGTGGCAGGTTGTCGAAGAGTTTTCAGCAACCTTGTGAGTAGTAGGTTGTCGTCTTCTTTCCTATAAGAATGACGCCTACGCTTTGTGAATTCAGTCGTTTTTGAGCTACGTTCTACTTGCTTTGTTTGTCTCGCATCGAGTAATTTTGGGCTCCAGGTAGCTCAGTGACTGGGGTACCAACTTACTCGCTGGAGGGCCCGTGGCTCAAACCCAACCCGAGGATATCTACTGCTCCACTCTAGGTTTGTGCAGCCTGTTGCTATCGTAACCTTCATTTGGCATGGCAGCTAGGCACCAAAAAGTGCTACAGCTGAACGATGTTTTTTACGAATGCACAACTTCTTACCCACAGAGTGCTATTCATTGCTATTAGTGTTAGGGCTCTGGTCAAGTCGGATAATGGCTGCACACCTATGGCCATCTTGAGTGACCTAAACCGGTGGATTCGCGCTTATGAGTGCGGTCATGAATGACACCCCACAGATTTCCTCGGTCACTTTTTTGTCATCTCACACACCTCACCTCAAAAGGTCACCTTCATCTGTTATCCCAACTTCTGCCCGTTGCTTTTCAGACGCCACAAGTTTGGATGAACACAACTCACGGGAAGGAATGTGTTTGAGGCTAAAGGAATCAAAGTGGCTTATAATTCTGGCAGGTTTCTCAGGGAACAAGTGTTCAAAAGAGTAGCGCCAGTCAGTACCGAACTAGTTGGGCCAGGTTGTGATATCCTCCTCTTAAGAAACTCTTCACAAGCTCTGTGGTACCTACCAATCCGTTCTGATTAGCTAGGCAGGTTTTTCGGATTGTGGTTGTAACAGTTTGGTGAAAAGGACGATGCACCACCATTTGGATAAGCTGGTTTTTGCTGGACTGCATCAACGCATCGCAAGCAACATCGATGCACCAACTAAGTCCACCCAACTCTTCGGAGGGTCGCTGTTGTTCTGTCCTACATGTAATCACCGGTGTATTGCGCTGATATTCAATAGCATCACATACAGTTCACAGGGACTCCGCTTCTTTCTTCAGTTATTTACGGGGCTGGTTTTTTATGTTCCTTCCAGGTTACCGGTCTTCCATCCACTAGGAAATTTCCCCTTTCATCTTCCAAACAACTTTCATTTTCAGAGAATACACACTCACTTGCAAACTAACTTGGTTTTTTGAGAGACTTACCTGGAACCCAGCTGAATATCTCGTTTGTGAGCTGGGTTCCAGGTGAGTCTCTCGAAAAATCAGATTATTTTGCAAATGGATGTATATTCGCTAATTTCGTGGTTTCAAGTAGAACATAAGGTTGACGGAAACTCGAGAACTGCGCCTGCCCGATGAGCCCCAAAAAGGGCGAGACCAGTCGTGGGTTGTCGACGGATTTTCAGCAACCTTATGAGTAGTGCATAACAAACTCTTTTGTTTTTCTCGCAGACTTAGCAGTGTGATTTCGAGACATAATCAGAAAAAGCATTTCGAGTCTGGTTATCGAACTAGACCTTTCAGGCAGCTGTACTTTACCTGTCCGACGAACTATTTATCCGAGTATCTTGTTGGGAAGGTAGAAAGCTAAACCGTCCACGGGTGTGACAGTTTCTGACCTGTAAGAGTAATTTACCGGGCGATATACTCGCTGACCCAGTTCCTAGTACATTGCAATCAAGTTCATAAAATTAAGTCCGCTTTGACGTACGCGTCTTGAATAACCTTGTTTGTGTTTCTGAGGTTATCGCATTCCCGATAACTGCACGACTAACGATGCAGATTTCAATTCGGTATTATGTTCTACGACTCTGGATCTTCTTGGACCTGGAAGTCACCCCATTAGGGCGACCGCTTTTATTGATCTACGTCCATCAGCTGTTGCGTCCAATGCTCGATGTCCAATCTGGCAACCATAATGACGAGATGATTCTGTTATCTGGCAGCGGATTCCAAAATCTTTACCGTATCCTAGACAAATACACTCAAATTCATATCACCTGCTTTCGACAATAGACTCAAATGAGTCTATGGTTTATTATATTCTTTAACCGAATGTGCTGCACTAGAAGGCCGCCTCATGTTTCAGTTGGTACGATATTCGAGCTACAGCAGTACATTTTCATAAGGGAGGCAACTCACAAGAGTGATGAAAATTCATCGACAGCCCACGATCGGTTTCGGTCTACTTGGGGATTATCACATGATTGTATCGAATGACTGAGCGGAAGCGTCTCTACTTGATAGGATACACAATGAGAAATCTCTGTGAGGTTCATTTGGCGACATCTGTGAGAAAATATAGAGGAAGTGAGGTCCATTGCACCTTGTTTATTGTCTGCTTACGCCCCCAACTGACTGTAGTTCTGAATCTGCCAAGGAAGCTTCTATGACGCTCTAGGTACCCTTGTACAGCGGTCTACAAGCTCATATATCGTTGTGATTGTCGGTGATATGAACGCCCATGTAGGTAGACTAAGAACTGCTGAGGCCCGATTGTGGTCGTCTTGGACTCAACACGAGACGCACGGACAATGGGGATCACTTACTTCAGATGTGTGCCGATCACAGGCTGTTCCTTTGCAGTACGAATTTCCGGAACAGCGGAAATCGCTTGACAACGTGGTGTCCACCAACAAACCAGTCCCGAATCCAAATAGACCAGATCGCCGTCAGTTATCGATGACGAGGATTGATCGCCACCGGCTGCTCCAAAAGCTTCCCTATAAAAAGTGGTGATCGACAAGATTCATTACTCCTTCCATTCTTGTTCAACTTCGTAATTGATGAAATAATGAGGCGAAGACTGGACGGTTTTCAAAACCCCGGCGTTCAAATTGTTGCTGGTGAAAGCCTTGTCGATCTGGACAGACGATACCACCCTAATGCTTGAAGACCGAAGCGAAGCCCAAGTCCTGTTGAATAGACTGACCAGCATCACACCTTCCTTTGGCATGCGCCTTGCACCTTGAAAAGCCATGTTCCGGAACGTGCAACCCTTGAACATACTTTTCACAGTTCAAGGAGAATAACTGGAGTTTGCGGAAATTTTTACATACCTCAGAACTTAACTCTGAGGAAAATGTGTCTGATGAAGTCAGTGCAAGAATCTCAAAGGCTTGAGTAACGTTTGCTAAGTTGCGTCAATTGTAGCGCCAAGAAGTCATATCAATGGGTCACGTGTGCCAGTTTACAATAAGGGATACGTTGTTGTAGGGATGCGAGACGTGGCCTCTACGGACACATGATGTGAGGCGTTTTCAGGTTTCCGACCACCGATGCCTCAGAAGCGTCGTTGGAGTTGAATGGCACCGACGGGATGATTAGAAAACGGGTATTTGGTTGTGCGATGGAAATCATCCAACACCATTAGCTGCGGTGGCTCGGTCATGTGCTATACATGCCGAAACACCATCTATCGAGACGAGTGTTGTTCCCCGTGCCTCCTTCAGGACGGCGCAATTCGCGAGGTGGACAGCGTATGACTTGGCGAAAAGGCGCGGAAGAGATCACGAAGATTTTGGGTGTTGTTGTTGTTGTTGTACGCCTTCGAGGATGGGGTCCCCGTAAGCACGCCTGTGCTTGACTGAAGACATTGCAAGAAATGGTGACTAATTGATGTCAGTGGCGTTTGTGCTGTGTCTTTCTTTCCAGATTGTCTAATTGAGCGGTCGGAGGTGTGGGCACCCCAAAATGCTTGACATAGGCCGACACTGATGTTGTCTTGATGATCATCCTCTTTCCAGATTGTCTAATTGAGCGGTCGGAGGTGTGGGCACCCCAAAATGCTTGACATAGGCCGACACTGATGTTGTCTTTGATGATGATCATCCTGCGGATCCCTTCTGTGATCCGTTGTCCGGATATCCTAAGTGTAACAAAGAAGCCGAAACATTTTTCCATCACAGTGTGCTGAAATAGTACATTTCTTGTGGGGACGCTTGTGGTCGCTAACAAATTCGCTACATACTGTACAGTTTTTCCATAACCTTCCATTCATTCCGTCGTCAGATTCCACATTGCGGTGAAGTTTTGTGCTCACTCCCATTACAAGCGCTCAAATTCAGTAGATGCAGCCTAAGTAGATCCCATTAGGAGAAATATCCGAAGATCTTCTCGATGGATCTATTTTTTCCTGAAGGGGACTGCTATAATGAATGTCGCGGAATCCGCTGATGGAAAATCAGACTATTCGAGGGCATTTTTTGAGCTTTCGTATTGAGTAAACAAAAGCAGATATTTTCTATACTTGTTGGTTGTATCTGAGGCCGTTACTTGGATACATCTGGTAGATGATAGGGCTGATCTTGTTCTACCAATCATCGCAACTGAGCAGACACCACAGGGGAAACCGCTGGTAGTAGAAAAGACGCATTCATGAATTACAACGCAACAACTGCACTTATCAGGACCTAGTGAGTCACCGAGCACAGTAGTAGATCCCATTCTCGAGCCTCATCACCTCCGTATTGCGATTACATGGCGTGTCCCGAAATACACGCAAGCTCGCTGAAATATTGATGAGGGCAACTCAGCTGGTCTGAGATACTCCATCGGTATAATGTCCTATTGAACCGTGCGCTCTCGGACAACCATTGGCTAGAGAACCTGAGTCACTCACAATATCCATAGACACTGTGCCGCCTTACCTTTTAAGTCAATGGTGTCCCGGCCAATAAACCATCTAATCAAAATGGTGTTTCCACCATCGACACCTAATGAGAAGTGTACGGCATTCTGGTTAACTTTAAGTCTTCGAAGGCATTTTCAAACTTCCTCGCCCATCGTTCCAGCAGCGTTGTTGCCGTTTTTTTTGCTTTGGTTTTTCTGGTTCGGACACAGCAGACAGTTTTCCGGATGTCACCAACTTTCTCTTGGTCAGATTATAATTCAGTAGAATTCAGCTGTGCGAAACCCTGAAACGCTTTTAAAACGAGCCGAACGATCTATAATTGTCGATGGAAGATAACGTTGATTTAGAGGCTTAGTTGTTGTTCTTAGTGGTTTTAACTTGACTACCTTAGGCAGTTGGAGTTCGAATAGGATCGAAACAGCAAGTAGACACGGTCAAGTAGACACTGATAGTACTGAACCTCAAACCACGTTCTCCAATTTGCCCGATGTTTTCCTCTACAATTATCGATCACACGGTCAAGTAGACACTGATAGTACTGAACCTCAAACCACGTTCTCCAATTTGCCCGATCTTTTCCTCTACAATTATCGATCGCACACAATGGATCATTGATGCAAGCGCGGACGTGATTACTGGTCGTCATGTGTGACGGTTGGTGGTGCACACGCACCCTAATCCCACGGTACGCACGGGTGCAGGCATGTGTTCATATACGTGTGTGTGTGTGTGTTGTGTGTGCGTGGGCTACGGACCCATACCTGTCTGGGTTGACTTGGGCATACACTGTTCAAAAGTGGGCTGTTTGAAGTACACCAGAGACGATTGGTTGAAGAAATCCGACAGCACCTCAGTGAGGAAAACTAATAACGAAACGTATATGGCCTGTTCCGTATCACGTGAACTACACCGGGCACAATGGTCCGACCCACTAGAAAGCCGAGGAACCGGTGAGATTGCTTTGGTGTTAGGTTGGAGGCAGCCGAATCTCTCGTATATGTTGTTATTCAATTGAGCTGGCTGGACGAAGGTCACTTTTGGCATGATATACGAAGTGTCCAAGTAACTTACGCCTATAGGGCTGTTATTGCAAAGTCTTCAGCGGCCTCATAAATAGTGACTTAGGTCAAGACGTCATTTCAATCATTCATTCATTCATTTAACGTAAAATAATGAACTTGAGTGGACGTCGGCGTTGGGTAGCTGACACTCCTGGGCCCAAGTATATCGCATTTTGCTCGCAGTCTTCAGTCTGAAGTTCACCAATCCTTTAGGAGACTATACCCATTGGCAGACAATGTCTCAGTCCACGTTGTGAATATTCTACTGAGTGATTTTTAGTTTTTTTCTTATACCAGCGAGAAAGACTGTGGTTGCATAAGGCACTAATAATCGATAACTTCGAATGAAACGATCAAAGTGGCACTGTAACAGGGACGCGAGTATTCGCAGTCAGCGTTAGTGACATCGTTAATTTAAGTTACATCCTCTTGTGATTAAATTCATACGATTGCTTAGGAGATCAAGTGATCAAATATATCAACCTGATTCAAAAATTAAACTTCCGCTATATTTATTCAACTTGACAACTGACTTGTCTTGTAGGAAGGCCAACTACCACGGCTTCATGGTGTCTTTGTTACTAAAGTTCAAACCTCTAGTCAGAACGCTCTCTTCTGTCTTTTGAGTTTTCTGCCGGAAGGGTTCTTCATCCAAGGTCCAATTGGTCAGATCCGTTCGAAGGCATAAGTGGCAAGATTTGAAGGATCTTCTCTAGCAAAACAAAAATCAGAATCTCCCCAAGTGTATCTTCTGTTTCAGTCTTGACTAAATGAGTCGCGGGGACTAGGTGCTTCAAATCTATAGGACTGTAACGTTTAGTCCGCCTTGAAATCTTGTTCCCGAAATCGATCATCCGATTTCGGTAGTAAATGCCGGGTTGCCGTTGCAGTTCTTGTCATTTCGTTCCTGGGCGGTGCTGATTAGTTCAATGCAGATATGGGGTGACCTGTCAGGCAGTCGATCTGTATGACTATTTTGGAACTCGTAGAAGCTTCATTGATGGGGAATATGGATTGTGTTTTTGCAGACACTCGTGGCAACAACGCCGCTCTTGTCGAGTGATGGCAGGCGAAGATAACCCATTGGCGGGCGGTTTTTTGGGACATACGTCTGTGGAAGTACTATTAGATTGGGTGCTTTTGTTATTTGCCGTTCTGGTTGCCTCACTGTCTGCCTTCTGAAAGTGCGTCAGCATCGGAGAGACGGAAAGAGGGAGGGATGGCAAAACATTTCTCCATGTGAGAGGTCATCACATTTGGGAACATTACCGTGGAATGTTGCATTGGGGGTTCAAATAGAATGTCTCTAGAGGGACGTTTGATGGACCCTTTTTAATCCTGAGTTTCATGGTAACGAAGTGTTCCATATCACGTTTCTTGTTCACTTACCCTAACAAGGCTCGCACCTACAATCTTCCAATAAAAAGGGAGCACCACTGATAAGCTTACTGAAAACTCTTCATAGTGTTTCATCAATTTTATGGGCAGTTTCCCTTCGAGAAAAATATGGTGCGATACCTCGAACATGGCTCCAACTGAAACACGAAGCGACCCTTGTGCCACATACTCATAGGAAGATTAGTTATAACGATATATTCGGCTGAGACTCCGTTTAGTCTCGTCAGAACCAAACTGGCGCTCCAGTGAGCGTATTTTGTGAAGCAGTGATGTTGTTCCAAACGATAGTAACGAGTAAGACCTTTAGCTCTAACAACACATGGGAAGGGGAGTCAGTTCTGTCTGATCTCAAAATAATTCGGAAAGCATTATGTCGGCGAGCGAAAGCATAGCTTCTCTGTCCCTTCTTGAGAGTCATTTGATGCTCCGATTGCAAAATCCTAATTCTGCTGAGCATCTTTAGCGCTGAAATTCACCCCATTATTTTGAGCATCAGTCAAATAAATCCGTAATAATCACCAGTAAAAAAACAACACATTGTCAAGACACGTGATCCCAACTACTTCCAATAGCATTGTGGAAAATGAGGTAAATTTTATGCATTAGATTAGGAGGTATTGATTTTCATTAGTCGACCGAACTTCTCCACTCCGCCCTCCCCTCCCCGTTTCAGACACAGTAACACCATCCTCGGAGAAACGTCTAATCAAACAACTCATCAATAATTACGAGAAGGCCGGAAAGATTGGTCGTCCCGTGAAAAACAACAAAGAGACGGTCGTGGTTGGTTTGGGCTTGTCGTTGTTTCAGCTTCTTCATTTGAATGAGAAAAACCAAATTTTGACCATCAACGTCTGGACAAAATATGTGAGTGTCCTTGTTTTTTTCTTTAGATGTCACAAAAAACATCATCTGTGTTGTAGAATTTCGCCGGCTGTCTTATTTTGTCCAGATCATGATGTGTGATGTCAATCCTCGTAAAAGTGGAGATGGAGACCGGTTGATCAAATATCGCCCTGGACCGGTGACTCTTTCTAGTGAACAATTTCAAATTAATGGAAGATCGTCTCAGGGTCACCGTACATCAGTGGTGGTATACGACACAAGACCCTTGGAGTGTCACTGTGACACACTTCCATTCGGTTTACAGGCCAAAGTAGATCAGTCGCTGATTTGATAAGATCCACCACATGGTCGTGGAAAACGTTACTTTTAGAAGTTCCAGTCACGAACGCTGAAATCAGGATTTTCGAACTCTCGGCACAAAACAGCTGAGGCTGTTCTTTTTTGCCAACTCACTGCTAACTCAACGCCTTTTGTAGGTCTACGCAAAAGAAAAGTCGCATCTATTTGGAATGGAAGCTTAATGGATCAATATTAGAATGATAGGTCGATTCCCGTCCGAAATCCCAGCTTGAAAGAACATCTTTCACTTGGTTTTACTCCCCTGAATTATTGAAGATTACTTTTCAAACCCTAAAAATGTTCAACAAATCTTCAAACAGAAGGAAAACTCCAGCCGTATTCTATTTACTTGACTGAACATCGTGGAAGCCGTACCATACTACTAATTGTCAACTGACCTAAGTAGTGTGCACTTGAAGAGTGATCAGATGAATAAATGGGACACGTGATACAAGATCAGACTTCACCCAGGTCGAGAGAACTGTTCACTTCTGGCACCACCATAGTTCACTTTCCAAGGATTTTTACTCACATGAATCCGTTATATTTAAGTCTTGTGACCCTAATGCTGTTTAGTTTGTACGAATCGTATTTGTCACACGATGGCTGGAAATTCGAATTGTTTTGATCAATAGTTTTCGGCAGATTCCTCGTTTAGTCACAAGTTAATTTACAACTTCCGCTTTGAGGCATGCTCTAGCAGAGCGCTACCCAATGCTAAGTTGACGTTGAGTGAACAACTCATTTAATCAAGTCTAAAAGCAACTCAAAACTGTTCGAGCTTCAGAGTTCAGAATATATTTCTCCGTGAACTCCATCCCATTTGCATTATTTGATGCCGGTGTTTCGAAAGTGAGTGTGCGCAGATTTGTTGATTTTGCAGTAATGAGGTACCGGAAAAAAGTTGAGAAGTGTGAGGCAATCTGAGTCGAGCATACTTCACTGATTGTGAGTGAGAATTTCAACAGTATGATGACAAACACGAATGATATAGCTTCCAAGACGATTCATGGACTGCCGTGTTCCAGAAGACTCTCTGTCTAGACTGAAAAGTTCAGAAAACTGATGGTGGTGCATTTTCTCATCATACTACAGTTTTTAATACAGATTACTCGGGATTTGCAACTGAAATCCACAAGTTCTTTATCTCAGTGTTACCACAATACTGCTTGGTCCATTCCACGAGATTGTGGTTTCAGAAATGGCTAGTTAAAGGATTTAGACACTGAAGCCCTGGTTGTAGTAAGCCGACTCTCTCAAACGGAAAACCATGATGGTGGTTCAATTACGTGAAAAATACTTGGACCCAAACACATGTAGGTCTCCCCACCGACTGAACACTTGTTCAAGCACTCTAACACACTAAAATCCCTCAGCCGACACCCAACAGAGGTTTAGCTTGAGTTGGCTGATTGGTTCTCCTTCCGCCTTAAATCTCCACCAACCTCGGAACCTAGTCACTTGGCCTGACGACGCTTTTGTGTCAAAAGCGAAGCGTTGCCCAGCAATCATTCTACCGATCGCCACCAAACTTTTTCGAAAGCCATAATGGTGGTTATTCTCTGAACACAGATTTGCTGAGTGCAAAAATCCTAGAAATGAATCGCGATTCCTCTTCTCCGACCTCAGTTGCCGGACCCACTCGATCCCGATTTAACCCAGTAGTGTCGATCTGAAAGGATCCAGAACTAAAATCTTTGGATGACAGTTCCAACGGAATCCAGACGGTGCGAAAACAAGCGTGAAACAGCTACGCCAAGATCTCTGATTTTGCAACACGAGTCCACTGGTACTGTCGAGGAAGCCTGGTTTTGAAACCCCGAATTATTCTTGCTACTTGTAGATTACGAGTAGTCTCTTTAGAATGAAGGCATCCAAACGGCTTCATTGGCCTTTGACCTGCAAGAGGAGTCAGTCAACACCCGTTATCATATGCTACTTGTGTGACTGAAGGCTCAGTGGCACTGAATCTCATTTAACCGCGATTTGATTACATGAGTGATCAATCATCCTTCCTATCCGGAACTTTACGTGTTCGAGCTTCCCCCGAAGGGATCAATGGCCAATAGCTCTCAAGAAAGAGATTCGCTTGCAGGGTTCACAGCTTTGCATCTTCCGTGAAAATCGATAACTAGATAAGCCAAATGATGCTACTAAGCACAAGTAATTGAGTTAGGTCCTCACTTCTCAGGTAGACAGCAGGTTCACAATTTACAGACCGTATTTGAGGGGATGTGGAGTGCGTGATGCAGACCAGTGGTGAAATCACCCCTTAGCCTTTCAGTCTACGCCCATCCGATAAGTTTCGGCCAAAATGAAACACATCCTATGGTCCTATGTTGCCACGAAACAGGCTCTCCACGAATCCAATCAAAACTATGGAATGCCAAATTAAAAACATCGCAAATATACATGAATCTCTTAGTGCAATTCTCATCACCGAAGTCAAATACACCAATAACCAAAAGGCAGTTGATCGGTCGTAAAGCTGTTTGCAACAACTGATTGTTGCGCAGGGAAAACCCATTAGAAATGCGTTTCTCATCCTGCTCTATGCCAGACAGTTTGCTGCATGAAATGTGCTTAATTAAAGATAACCATTCGATATGATATGTCAAACATTCTGTCGCCCACAAATTGCCTTTGTGTACATCGATGAACGAGGCTAACCCCCTCACTTGAAGTTTGATCAAGGGGAGGGGCACATTGTTCAATCAAAAAAACTAAACTGAACTGCTCTGATGATTTTTTTTCAATCAGCATGAATGACGTCAAACATAAGCTAGGAAATTTGATTGGTTTTCGAAATGTTCTGAAGAAACCCGAAAAATGACTCGCTAGCCATCTGACCAAATTTTCTGGAGATAAGAATTACTACGTCACCAAATTTACAAACTCCGTCTCAGATTTTCGGTGGAACCCTCGATCCCGGAGATGTCAGAATAAGACGTTTGTGAAGCGCTGTCACTCAAACGTGACAATAAAGGAATGACCGGTTTCTAGTCAAGGGGATTCAAGTTAGAGCGCTAGTATGCTCTGCATATTCGTAGCCAGCGATACAGCCGTTTACTACTTTTCTTCAGCACGTGCGATACCGCGAGAGATCGACCAGCACGGAATAACAAAAAATGTCGCGCTCGCACTGAAGATCTCTTCTGGTTTCGATTCGAAACCCAACTATCCATGAGCCTTAATCCAAAAACGCTACATTGTCTCACTTTCGTTTTCGTGCCTCGTGTAAGATCACTGCGGTCGAACGAGGCATTCAGCTGTCGACTCATTTTGGCAGATTCACAATACCTACAGAACGTGAGCGATTCTCAGGTCCATACGTGGATAATTGTGAACCTGGAGTTCAAATCTTAGCACCATATCGAGATCACGTGAGAGAAGAGGCATGTTCATATCATGTTCCAGTTATCTAAAAACCTTCCATCTTGGTCTCTTTTTGGTACTAGGCAAGATAACTTTTTCTGGACAAAAGGAAGTAAGAACATTTGATGTGATATAGTCTCGGTGAGTATATCAGTAGACCTGTTCCCACTCTTTTTTTGGTCAGACTTGGATCGATCAGCTGCTACGCTGGGATCCGGCAAATTATTCCAACATCCGGGAAGTACGCATTCCACCAAAGCTGATATGGACACCAGACATTGTGTTGTACAATTAGTAAGTGAAATGTGAGAAAACCTGTTGATATGATTTCAATACTATCATTATTGTTTCTTTTTTAGAAGTATGGTACAGACATAAAAAAATGTATCCGAGCGAAAGATGTGGAAGGGTGTACAGGAGAAGATTAGATAAAACGAGGGAAGCGTCCCATCCGAAGTCGTGCCACCAACAGTTCCAGTCAGACAAGAACGCACATAAGAATGTTTGATAAGGAAAAACGCATGTGAAGACCGGTAACTGAAAAAAAGGAAAAACATGGCTTAATGTTCCTTAAGGCGCAGTAATCACTAGACCAACCAAGGCTCTCACATCAGGCACAAAGTATCCGTCATACTGGGTCAGGCGTAAATTCACTGGCAGAAATGCGCACTCAACAACATACAGCACGCATAGGAGTGTCATACGTACGCAGGGAGCCCACAATGAAAAGCAAATACCTTAGGAAGTCTCAGTCCAAAAAGAGCCTTGGTGGATTGAGGAAAACAGATCCCTCGATACGAGATGATCATCGTTTGACGGACCAGAAAGTCGATATCAAAGTTGATTGCACATAGGGCTGAGATGATGACGAGGGAATATTCGTCAGCACCGTACTTCTGCTTCTTCTCATTCTACACTGTCACTTCACGCCCATCCGAGACTATGCTGACGTCTAGACTAGTCGGCCGGTGCTCCCAAACAGCGGTTAGGTCAGGTATGATGAAAGACTTTGAAGTAGATGCTCTCAACTCCTGGGAGACGGTGTATCCCAGGTGACGAAGTGAGTTCCCTTGCAACCCGATTACGACGAGGACATATAGCATCATGAGTAGTCCAGTAGGACCACAGAATATCCACCAAAGTATTCAGTTTGCCACAGTTGAAGACCGTCTAGTCACCATGACCATGCCGAACACTTCTAACTCTCGTCCTAGGCAGATTGCATGGTAGCTGGATACCGCGGATAACTATCCGGGAAAACATCCGTTCTGGAACTCCTTGGTGTTTACGCATGCACCGTGGACTCGGATCGGAAGGCTGAGATCCCGAACAACTTTGCCAAATGCGGAATCGTTGACCACATTGCGCAGTACTCGGCACTGAGTAGAAAGGAGCTTTTCCATACGCGCTTTCGGCTGCATCGGGATGGTTGCACTCCGGTTTTGGGATATTATGTCCCCCATGTTGTTTACCGGCGTGGATAGAGATGATCCTTCGGTAGATGCAGACAGCCACGAATAGATCGCCTGATGCAATTTTCTAACCTTTTGCTGGACTCGACCGAGCACAAGCGAATATGTCAGCCTTGGTATCAGGTAGTTCCTCGTGATCTCCTCTGATGCTGCTTCAGTGGGGCACGCGTCACCTCATCGAGCAGTTTGAGCAGCTGCTTTTGGTGTTTGAAGACTCCTTTCTCCTTGGAAGTAAAGGGGAGGCCAAAGTATGTCACGGCGTCTGTCGTCGGAAAAAGGCGGAAACAGTTAGCGTAGGTTGACTGGGCGAATACGTTCGTGCCGACGCTTTCATGGATGTGAACTCGACGGTGGGCTACCAAGCCAACTTAAAATTTGCAGCACTTGCCACATTCCTCACACATGGAGAGCCCCACGACTCTCTCCCATATGTACTGGTGTGGAGGCACCAGGTGATTTGTATTGTATATTGTCGAGAGTAATCATCACATTGAAACCAAACCGGGTGGTTAGCCGAATCTGAGTTGCTGAGCTCTTAGCTCACCCAGAATGACGACCGGCACCATGAGGAGGTGGTTCAGTGAGCCACAACACATATATAACCGCTATTCGTCTCAACTCAACACCTCCCCTAAACTGCGGTCGCCCAACTGTAGAACCGCCATAGCAACAGAAAGGGAATGTACAGAAATTTGATTCTTACTCCATTCTCCCCACTCCCCGGGTGATTGGGACAACCCAAATAGAATAGTTAAACAACTTGGCTTTCTGCTTCAATAGGCCTGACTTTCGTCTTCTCCACTGGTGGTCTGTAGCGAAGTACTGAACAAGGACATAAACACAGATTTTTTTACCTCATTGCGGTAAAAAAACTGAAAGAATGCTATTTGTTTCTCTCATAGTGGGAAACTAAGCTCTAAGAGCATGGTTTTATTTGACATCCCATCCTCCCAGAAAGCACTACGATCACAACGGAAACGCCTTCAGCAATTGGCCTATCAAAATGCAGGGCTGTAGTTTCAATCTTTTTGAAATGTGGCCTAGACCCAGCGATCAATAGTGTAAAGCCGAATGGTCGTGGGGAAGCTGCTGATTTCTCGTTTCAGTGCTCTAGCACTTCTGGCGATAGTGATCGTCTGACGGGGCAAGAAAGACTAGCAGTTTCGGCGATTGCGAGATGTCCTGCTGCGAATATACAATTCACTGCATGAAGATGCTTCCATTTTGGATCTGAGGGTGATAACCTCGGAGCGAAAATCTGTGCAGTAGAGGCAGCTTCTCATCAGAAGATTTTGTTCTCGAGAGCACTATTTCAGGAGCTGTACGGAAGTTCTTTTTGAGCAAAATCAATGAGCACGCCCGATGAACCTCTACTAGTTTATCAGGGAAGTGGCAGTCTTCACCTTCCGAAAGGGAGTCAGAATTTAGATATGACTGAATTAAAGGAGATCATTTCAGTCCAATTCCCGGAACACTATCCAATAGTCGGAAACCGAGTTTGCCTGTCAGCATATTGGAACGCTGACCGATTGCAAACCGTTATTTGATCATTTTTGGGTAATTTGGAATAATGGATGGCCACGCAGTTCCTTTGTTAGTAGCTTGAAACTAATCACCAAAATGCGTCCAATCTCTCCACATTCACCTTTTCAGTTCCAGAAAGTTTTGTTTCTGGATTCGAAAACAAACTGTGAAGTATTTGGCTTCCTTCCCCAGACTGATCACCAGCCAATTAAGCCAGTCAGATTGCAGAAGGATTTAGATACTGGTGCGTCTATTCTTCGTAGGTTAAGAAAAAGGGCGAACAAATTTCAGTCGTGATCATATTACCCTGTTTCGATATTATGTCCATCAAAAGATTTGTAAGGGTCAACAAGCAAAAATGGCTTGCAGATAAAGCTGGTAAGAGAGATGTGATTTGATTGGAAAATGTCAAAATTTCATTTAGGGTTATTCAGCCACACAACGCGGAATCCTTTGTTAAGTCGTTCACCTGTGGCATCCTTTCGGTGTCTAGCTGCCTTGTCACCCGGAGGGAGCACAACGATTGGGATACTACCAGGTTGCCCAAGCCTAGACAGGGGAAGTCGAGAGGCGGAGGTCGTGTTCGAAGCTTCCATAAATATGGACATGCAAGTCGCCTGGGGTGAACATCTTACGGCCTTCACACTCCTATCGCAGAGGACAGGACGGCTTTACCTCCAGACCGCCACGTAATACGATTACTTGCTGTTCTTCGTCGGGCTGCTCCCCTCTAGCCTTCCTGGCATGATTCAACCTTCAGGAACTGAGTTCCAGCCAGTATAGCCCTCAGGGTCATTGCAGCACAGAAGCCTGACCACCACGAAGTCGAGAGGTAGAGGTCGGGTCCGAACCACGGGCTTTCCCGTCAGTAAGTTCGCCCTCCAACCACTGAGCCATCTCGCCCCCACTTCCAGGTTAACCCGGGTGGCCAGTCGAAGAAGAGATAAGTTGAGACGGAATGCGTAGTTTACAACTCTCCCACGTGCGACTGAGCTTTTTTGGCTCCGACACTACGTTTTCCAAGGACAACCGCTTAGATTTCGAGCTTCTGGCTCGGAAATTTTCAGCTCTTTCTCAAGAATGGACGATTATTCAGATAAACCATTCTTACCATAGGGCTGAGGATTCTTCCCGTAAATCGAATCAGTCTATGTCAGAAAGTCGAGATGCACTGTTTCATTCCTATTGGAATTCAACACTATCCAACGAATATGCAGGGAACAAACCTTCCAAATGAGAAGTCATCACTTGAGGAGCCACTCAATAGGGGATCGCTGCATCCCGTCTAAGTGCGAGTAAGACATACTGCATCTCGGCCATTCATAGCCAAACCACTGACCGGGAGATCACGGGTTCAAAACTCCCCGGTGTTTCGTGAGATGCAGGTTGCTGGTGGTTCCCCATAAGAATGAAACACCGCCTCCCAGCACTTTAACACACTTACACGATAAAATTGCGGTCACTGCTAACAAACTATTCACCAGTTGTCGGACGATCGTGAGTCATGTATCGCGATATCTCGAATATCGTAGCGACTGAAATATGAGGCGGCCTGGTGCAGCACATTCAGTTGCCTGAGAACATCACAGACGAGCGATTCAGCTGGGTTCCAGGTGAGTCCCTCGAAAAACCAAAATAATTTACAAATGAGTGTATATTCGCTAATTCTTTTGTTTGTTTTATACACTTCATCCAACAGCACGAATACGGATAGCGCTGGATGTTAATAGCTCATACGAATTACCAACAGCTGCCTAATGTGGGAAGAAAAGAAAGGGGTATTGGAGCTTTACGACCGACGAGCTGTTTTTTTTTGTCCAGTAACAAGACCAATAGATGGTTAGTCTGAGGATATGACTTACTCAGTACAGTAGTGCGGGGGTTATCGTGGTTGTGGCGTGACCTCACTCGATCAGGTGATTTTCGAGCACGCGTGCGGGCGTCCACACTAGAGTGGCAGCTGTCTGTCTTGGTTTAGCTAGCTATTGCTTTGACTGATTTGGGGAAACACTCATTCGTCCGTCGACGTATGTATCTTTTCGTCGAGTTGATGTACTTGTCAGTACGGAGCGTTAGTTGTTGAGACATTTCATGCCACCGGTGTACCTGTCGCGGGTTATCCAGTTCATTCAAGCCTTAAAGATGTAATTTCATATGAAGTGAAGATAGTACCGAAAACCTGCTTCTTAGGTTAGAGTTTGGTTCTCATTTAAAGGTTGGGTCGGCTGAACTAAACTTTTGTCCCCGGAGCCATCCACTGCTTGCTACAACTGCGTTACAGTTTTACTATGCATATACAACACTCACCATTCCAAAAGAAACCCTTCGGAGAAGTGCCTTCATTGCATAGGCCGTCTTGGAGGCATGGGATTTTTTTGTCTCCATTTCGCCCAGAAGGTACCTAGGGTCCCATACCCATACCTATACGTGTATTGCGATATCTCGAATATCGTACCAACTGAAGCATGAGGCGTCCTGGTGCAGCACATTCGGTTGCTTGAAAATATCATAGGCGAGAGATCTAGCTGGGTTCCAGGCGAGTCTCCCGTAGAACCATATTTGTTTAGAAGTGAGTAAATATTCTCTAACTTCCTGCAATTTGGATCCAAGTAGAACACAAAGTTGACGGGAACTCGGAGACTGCGTCTATCTGATGAGCCCCAAGAAGGGCGAAAATGGTCTTGGGCTGTCGAAGAATTTTCAGCAACCTTATGAGTAGTGTATTACGTTTATACATATACTTTCTGGTTAATAAAATTACTGATCTAATCCTCAATAGGAGATGTCACAGTGAAAGCTTGGCACTAGTGAACCGTACTGGTTAGCTGACATTCAATAAATAAGTTTCCAGTCATGAGCCAATCGATAACGATAAACTTACCCGCCACATTGGTGAGTGCTTATTTCTGTTGGACTATACTTTATTTGGCCAATAGTAAAGTATCCCTCACTGACACGTCACAGTTGGATTACCGAGTGACCACGACATAGACAAATGTCAAGGTAAAGCAGCTGATGACAAATCAATATTTTTCGAGTTCCCGACAATATCTTCTTAATAAATTTTCATCTCTAATTGCTTTCATTCAAGCTTGTGTAGATCGAAGGCCATTATTTCCTAATGATTAGAATTGAAAGCTGGAAGTTTTATCTCACCCTCACAGCTTTAAAAATCTCTCATATACGGATGAAATTCCATTACTCAGATGCATGAGGCCTGAGGCATGGTTCTCAGCCTCCCACGGGCAGACCCTCTTGTCAAGTGGAGTCTTTGGGTGATATTTCGTTCCATAGAGAATGAGGCATCTATAATTTCAAAATATAAAAAGACTGTAATCCAAGTGCCAAGTTTGGTGAACAAACCGACCATTAAGATATGACAAAAACAAACAGTACAGAGAACTGAAATGAGGTTTTGTGAGGTAGTAAATAGGGCAATTTGAGCTCTTTCACAACCCATCATGGCCACTTACTAGTTATAAACTAGGTGTGGGAAAAGATATGGTTTTCAGCTTGAAACAACTTGCAGAACCTCTTGACACGCTATTCATTTGGGCTTAGAGAAACTGTATGTATGTCAATACCACAAAAGCGTGCGAGAAAGAGTCATAATTACTGCACATGTTTGAATTCAAGCGTCAGCTGGGTACGATGAGTTGTGTTCTTTATACGGTACTCGGATCAGTTTTCGACCAATTTAGTCCTCATAGATCAAATGAATCGATCTTGACTACGTAAGCTCTTCCGCCAAGCTTGGTCTCTAAACTCAAAGCGGGGTGAGAATATGAGTATGCGGATTCGACGCAATGGCCGTATGCATTTCAAAGCAGTTTCCATTTGACTGAAGACAATTCTCGCCGTTTTCCGGTAGCGTAATCGGCACAAGGAAACATCAAAGAAATGCACTCTAACTGATTTATGTCTGTTTGGCTTGTTCCCTCCTTCTTGTATGTAGTGTGGATGAACGTATGAAAGAACAGCGTGATGTCATGCTAAACGTGGACTATTTGGGTCGTGTGTTTTGGAGTCCACCAGCAATCTTTAAATCTCGTTGCCCGATCGATATCAGGAACTTTCCTTTCGATTACCAGTTCTGCTTTCTGCGTTTCGGCTCAGCGACTCAGCACAGTGATCAAATGGATTTGCAGTTTTTGGACAATCGGACTGAGGTAGATACTGGTGAATACACGGAGAGCAACGAGTGGACCATTATTGCCAAACCGGCGCGTCGGTACCTCATGCCATCGAAATGTGGGAAGACCATACCTGTTTTGACCTTCTTCTTGTTGTAAGTTGTTGTGTATCGGTACTGGTCACCCTAAACACGAAGACGAGGTTGCATGTCGTAATGCATCAGTCTTCCGGACACTATGACCCTTCAAAGAAAAGACATAACTAGGAAGGTGTGATGGGTGGGCTCTCACCCGAAAAAGTTTCACGCTCAATCGAGATTGACCCCATTGTTGCTGGAAGTCATTCTTGGGTGTACTATTATATCTAGTATGTCCTCAGCTATTGTCGTTCAGATTAGCTGGCTGATCGGTATTTATTCGTAGAAGAAAGCGTCATTAGACCATCTATGAGTTGACTAAGGAAATGGCCTTGGTCACATGACCGACTGTTTGGGAAGAAACCGCAAACAGATCAAAGAATCCCTTTTTCTAATTCTAGACCGACCATCATGTACTCTCAGATATAATGATGAACTTGTTATGCCAAGGTAGCTATCATCGTTTCAAGTGTAAAGTATAAATCTTCAGTGAGAAACCAATCCCGGGGTGATGTCAAGCCCTTCGAACTTAAAATTTTACACCCAGCCTCTCAGACCTCTTACCCGCAATCCTGGAACATTTGGCGATAGCAGGAGTACGAAATGCGGCACTATAGGTTTAACGGTCAACAGATTTGAGATCCCTTGGTCTACCGATCTCACTTGCAAGCATTTAATGATTCCGTACAAGCTAATGGAGAATAGCATTAGGTTTGAATACCCTGGTAGATTCCTCATCCTAGCGTATGCACACCTCATGCAAGTGGAATAACAGCCTTTTATAAAGCAGTCGCTTCTTCGGCTGCTGAGAACGTGATCACTATTGAAATTTATCCCAGGTAGCCAACTGACAATTGTCCATTCTGAGGATTGCTCTTCCAAAATACTTGTACCCAAACTCAACTTTCATAGGTGAACTATTTTCATATTGATAACACGAATGCGCTTTGAGGCCTCTATGCACGTCCCTTAACCCAATCCTAGACCAAAGATGCTCAACATTTCCAAACACTCGCATCCACTAAAGCACACTAAATTTGAGCAATACTTACTTTGGTGATTTGTTACCCAAAGTATCGATTCCAAGAACAAAGTGACGCTCGTGTAACTACATGAAATACACCATAATAGTAACAAACAATCATGATAAAATAACTCAAGTGGAAGGTGCTGCCTTCAAACGGATGCACTCTCCAACTGTTCACCTGGTCCCACCAATCAGATCAATCGATCGATCGATCGATCAAATCGTTTGCATCAACGCCTGGCTTTCGGCGGTTTGAACACGGCTGGATTTGTAGAAGTTAAAACTACAACCTGTCCACGCCAATATAACGTACTCGATAAAAGTTGCTCTTGTGTATACTCGACTGTTTGTAACTTGATAAATGCTTTAAAAATTACCTGTATTTCAACTTCCGTACTGTATTTCATCAATTACCGATTTATGGGGCGACCGGTTTATGCTCAGTTTACATTAGGATTTCTCGGTTGTTTACGATATCGTTCTTCACACATAACTTAAAATAAACAGTGGGAGGGCTGAAAGAATCCCCTCAATTAGGAATGACTCAATCCTTGTTCAGCCATGACACTTTCAGCGCATAGCTGCCCTGCAACCCGAAGGAAAAACACGAGGACTGAGATACCGCCAGGTTGAACAACCCAAGAGAGGAGTAGTCAAGATGCCGGGATTGAGTTCGAACCACGGACCTTCCGGTCAGCAAGTTAGCACCCTAACTAGTGAGTTATCTCGATCAAGAATGATATTATGATCCTAACCGTGCTGAAAGTGACAAGCAAGGACTATAACAAATTCAACTGTAATAGCGGCAACCATAATAGTCCCAGGGTGATCATGAGCTAATCTATGATTCCATGCAGTGAAGTCTATGGGTAACTTATAATCGTCTTCAGCACGTGCTACTAACCCCGATCAAATCTTTTGTTCGAAAAGGCACAGACGAAGCAATGGCTATCAAATGAATGACCCAGTGCATTCATTGACGTACACCAGTGCTCTGTCACTTGAAAATTTTTAGATCAGACGCTTCTGGAGCCCCTACCAAATGATTTTGTTGCATTTATCTCACGTTAGCCTGTCCCAGCTCATCGCGTCTCCCGATTCGTTGTCCGTTTTCTACACTTTACAGCTTGAAACGTAATCCTGCGTATTACACGTACATTTTGGTGTTTCCGTGTATCCTGCTCAGTCTGATCACGACGGTCATCTTTTGGCTGCCACCCCATATCCCAGCAAAGATGTTACTGAGTAAGTTGACGAGACGGATGTAGTGATCGACAGACTGTTATTTTAGAACGCAGTATCCTGTCTTGCTCACCATAAAATCGTTATTTTCGAACCCTTTTCGTTTCGCAGGTATGAACATTTTCGTGTCCTTCTTCCTCCTTCTGAAAATTCTAGCAATGTCCACCCCATCAGCATCTACAATTGTGCCCTTCCTTGGTAAGTTTACTTCCACAACTAACTGCTCAACTCAGTAAAGGTTAGTAAAGTATGCCAGCATGTTGGAAGGTTGGGTGTGGTGTGTGTCTAACTTGCAGTCTTGAAGCAGGATCGTTTGTAAAGTTACTGGTCGTGTAGCGCGTGCTAGAATGATCTCAGATGATTCACTGTTTTTTGGGACTCTACTGCTTGATAAAGAAGGCGTTATGTGTAAGAAAACGCTACTGCGATTGTTCGGCTTCATTGATTTCCTCTGCTCTGGTTCAGCCTGACATGTCGAAGTTTTAAGTCAAGACATGTTTGAAGTTGATCGTGTCGACAATGTGCGAAACGCCTGGTTTGTTATACACAGAGACGTATGGTGCAATAACACAAATCTAGACTGAGTGGTGCTCACTAATGTAGTATGCTCTCAGATGGAGTAGAACAATTCCCCACTTTACTCAACCGGAGGAGTCATTTTGGCCTACAGGAATTCTGCACAGATGCTTTAAAATGCAATGGTTCGATCAAAAAAAAAATATAAACGAGCAGGTCATTGGCCACCTGCTTTGAGTAGAGATCCAAGAAACTCAGGAAGCCAGGAAAAATATACATGGCCATTCAAACCGGAAAGTGCTGGAGCCACATCAAATAACAACAAATCCTCAAGACCTGCTCTTTAGGGTCAAGCGTTGCGCAGTTCGTCATTTTTGAGATAAAGACCTCTAAACGAGCCAGAATGATCACCCAGCACGTAGTCACGTGAGTCGAGAATGAAACTTGGAGTGGTTCCGTACGAAGAGCATGGTCACAAACATAAAAAGTGAATGCAAGCGATGAATGCGAAAGAGTAACAGGATACTAAGGGAGAAAAGAGAGAAACGTCTCATTCGAGATCATGCCAAGGGCAGTGCCAGTCTGATGAGCTCTGTAACAGAGCTGAAAAGCCCGACTCGCACATACATACCGACATAAACGAGACTAGAGCACAAATGGCAAACCCTGCGGCTGAATTATGGTGGGATGCGAGAGAAACGTCGATTATTTATGTCCCAACAATCATAACTCTTGCTGTTGAATCTGATTCCGCTTCCGGAACTTCGTGTTCTTTTGACGTTGGCAAAAAATTGGCGTTTTTTCTCACCGATCACCCAAATGAACTTCCCGTAGGATCTTGCTCTTTCGAGAAAGTAGCGGCTGAATTCATTTTTAGCGCTGTCGGATACCGACCGCATTATAAACAACGGGAGATGAGATGAAAGCTCGTCATGCGTAGGTGTATTTTCCAAGCTGAACTTCTCCTGCCTTAGTTTTCTGAATTTTTCATACCGAACCACCAGGCTTCCATACTCTTTGCATGCTAGTGAGGACCCAAGTTATCCAATCGTTGGTAGCGGTTATCAAACTAGCAATTCAAGTAACCTGGCAAAACGTCTCAAATACACATCAGCAATTCCTGTGGAGGAACGGACCGGATGCAACAAATGTATGCAAACTATCAACCAGGAGGTCACGACTTCAACATTACTAGGAGTTTCTTGTCATGCGCACTACGGCTGACTCCCGGTAACGATGTACAATGTTTCTAAGCTCTTCAGTAGTGATTGGCTTCACTTACAGGACGAAGCCTCCACTAAAACGTGATTTCTGCACAACTTGGATGACTTACAACGGTCTACAGAGCACATGATCAGCGGTTGGCCAGTTGTAAGCTCAATCATTTTCCATGTAACCCTCTACTAGAGTCGTTCGAATGACTAGTTAACCTCTATTTTTATTAGTAAAACGTCGCTGTGACGTTCGAGAACACTTTTACTCTTCTTTCTCTGTTGCGTATAAACATTTGACAGATGTTGTTCCCAATTTTGTAGCTTTCATCGGACAATTTGTGGTGAATTTGTTACGCAGTGCAATGAGACCGGTGTTTCACCCCCTTCCCACTGTCTGAAACTGAGTAAGATAGATACTAAACCGACTCACTATGTGGACCGTTGTGGCTTTAATTTTCTTATCCTCATTGTTACTTCTCAAACTGTCAGTTGGTAGCAAGAAAAACAGAACTATCAAAAACATTGTTACCTAAGAGACCATATGGCATTGGCATGTTCAGTTCAGCTGGAAATTTCATTGGAGGTTGGCATAAAGCAGCGTGTTTCGTTACAATTCCTCAACTTTGACATCATTTAAAGGGCTGGCGTGCAACCGTTTATAACGCAAAAACGTCATTTTATTCAATGGATACAAGCTTTGCGGGTGAATTCACGAAATACTCTCTATTCATTTGTCGGGTACAGACCAAGCCACAGTAACGCTATGCACTTAATCGTGGGTGAATTTCGAGCGGTTCTGACCTTATCATATATGTATTAGAAACACTGCGTGCGCCAGTCCATTCTGGGGGGGGATTACAATAAATCTAAAATGAAGGCTGCGTTTGAAATCTCTACTGGATAGAATTATGGTTACGAAGCAGGCTGACCACATCGTCCAGCTGTAGCACTTCCGGTGCCATCCGAAGAAAGCATGAGACCTGCGATACTGCCAGATTGCCCAAACCTAGACAAGCGAAGTCGAGAGACAGAGGTCGGGTTCGAACCACGGACCTTCCCCACAGTAAATTCGCTCCCTAATTACTGAGCAATCTCAACCCCATTATCTATAGCAACATCAAATGAGAACATTGGCGCTTCGCTACCGCAAATGTGATGCCTAAGTACCTTACGAATGCGGTGGACACTACTCATGCAAGTAGCGTGTTTTCTCGTAAATCCTCTTCGCGTCTCTTGAAAAGTGAGATCTGTTACGGAATTTGTGGAGTCGCATTTGTTTGCATTTGGGCAACAATCAATGAATATCCAGGAAAGTGCAGGAAGACGCGTTCAAGGAGAAGACGGATATTCAGTTACTGTAGACAATATGCCTATGAGAGTTTTGCTTCCCTGTCCAATGGTCTGTAACCTTTCGCTTGGCGTTTCCCAATAAATAACTCCACAGGCCTGGCGAGCAGCTGAGATGCTTTGAAAGGAATTGCAGGCACTGGTGAACGACGAAGCAAACTCTTACAAGCTTTGGTACAATCAACTAGCTGTTTTGAATTTCCGGGTTGAAATAGAGGTAGACAACAACTATGCTTTCTCTCTGGTTGCACAAAGTTACGGAGGATGGTTGTGAGGTGTGGCTCGATGTAAAAACTGAAAAAAGGGACGACAAAAAATGGCATCTTGGAGCCATTTAGTGTTCTCAAGAACTGAGGCGGATCTTTACACGTTGGGATTTCTGGAAATATCCAGTAAAGACGTCGACAATCAGTGAGCTGAGTGGTATTCAACGTCTAGTCAACCAATGAGGCTTGTGCAGCCGAATATAGCAGCCTCACCATACCACTATTCCAATCGATCACTGGTCCAACTGCGTACAAAATCAGGCCCGCAGCGTCAAGCGTGGACTTGGGACTGAAAAACTGGTACCGATAGGACCTTTTTAAAAGATTTTGGAGAACAGGAATTACAATAACTGGGACAGGGGTAGTACGGACGAAGCTCCAGGCATAGGATATCTTCCCCCAAAACATGAGCAAATCAAACAAAGCAGTCGGAGAACAGCAGAGGGTAGCTGGACATTTCTTTCACAAGACAGTATATATATAGTATAGTATATAGTTATAGTATATATTTCTTTCACAAGACAGTATATATATAGTATAGTATATAGTATATATATAGTATATATAGTATATATAGTATATATATAGCGTGCGGGAACCAGTTGCCCTGCTGTATTGGGGGCCAACAAAATTTTTGTGAAATTTTTCGTTTGGACGAAGGGAAAAGAACAACGATATGCAGTGGTAAGGTGAAGGGGGAAGAGCATATTTTCAGGTTTACAACAAAAATGTTTTGTCTAAACGGAAAATTTGCTTCAGAACACGACAAACCCACGGTGGTAACGGTTTACAGGAGTGGTATGGAGCGGTTTCATAAATCCAGTTTTCGACCTTATACTGCACGACAGACAATTCACTCGGTCTCGCTGAATAAGGATTCTCTATCTCCCACCGGAAACGCTTTAACTGAGGCAACGGGCATCTTCCTTTCCCTAAAGATAGATTCAGCTGGGCACCAATCGTCGAAACGAAAGTTGTCATCATCTTCAGCTGTAAAAATCCACGTGCTTGCTGTTCAGTGATTATAGCTTCCATGGTTTCTTTCATCGATGGGTCTTGAAGGTTGGGGTAGATAGCTGGTACATTTGATGCACTGAGAGGCGTGTCGGTGGACTTTCCTTCGGAGAAATCAAGAGGGGAATCTATGCATCGGAAGCAACAGTTTGGATGCATGTGCGCGACTGAGTTGTCTAGAGTTGTTTCTAGCCACTGATGTGTCAAACTCGTGGTCCCCATCCAGGAAGACAGCAATGACCTGTGCAGTCGAGTTTGCTGGTACTGCCTTTCATTCTTCACTGCCAAGTCACTAGCTCACACTTCGCGAGGTTTCGCGAAAATGGCTCTTTGAGGTAATCGATCAGCCGACACACGAAACACGTGACCAGACCAGCGCAACCTACGGAGTGCAATCAGTTCATCTATCGCGGAAGAGTTATTTCTCCCGAAAACCATTCAAAGTACTTCAGAACTAGTGGTCCGGTATTCCCACAAGAGTCGATGGTCAAACACCTAAACGACCTCAGCGGGTATTGGGATTTGAGATCGCAACAGAAGTTCGGATACTGCGCTATTTTCTCTGAAAATATAAGGATTAAAGAATTTCCTTGAGAAATTCACCTTGTTCGGGTTCGATAAACAAGGCTTCGTGCATGCTGTTCTGATGTGAGTGAATCAAGAAGCGATGTCAGTAGGCAGCAGTTAGATGTGCCAAGTAGACAACGTTTCCAGGTCATCGATGAAGACATTATCAAACCTTTAGTTAGCACGTTTTGGAGTTCTAGCGTGCAGCCACCTGTCTTTTCAAGAGCAATCTCATCACACGTCAAGAAACATACGGCAAGCAAACATACGGCAACGAGAATCAATGTGGTGCATATGAGATGAACTTGTACCTCGCTCGATAAAATAATGGACAGGGTTAAAGACCAGAAAAATGAACAATCGGTTTGGTGAACAAACTGTCGCCTAATAGCGCTAAGGTTCATTCAGGTGCACGAGAAGTCAAACGGCAACCAGATGGGTCAGTCATCCCCAACTCAACTCAGGCCGGTTAAACCTACGTGACACTCTGTAACAGTTTACCTCACCGAACCGGTTGAATGTTCATCAAACCCCAGCCCTCCGGTAAGCTTATTCTGTGCAGGATGTGAAGGTCACCGAAAAACGATACTGTTGTAACCATGGTTGAGTCCACTTTTGAACATCCTGTGCCAGAATGGGTGTTTGGGAAAATGTGTTTTGGAAAATGTGTTTCAGTTCGGTGCGACATGCGTAACCCTGGAATTTGAGCATGTCCATAGCAACCATATAAAGTGCGACCAGTAATTCCCCATCGTCTTGCACTTTAGCTCTTAACGTAACGAAGGTATCTTGAGACGTCAAGTGTATGCACGTTCCGATGACACAGTCTCAATCGATAATGGATTTGATTGACAAAGTTGTGGAATTTAGGTAGCTCGGGTGCGCTGCTTGGTTGTTAGTCTGTTCGCCGAGCGCGGATATGATTGTTTGTCACATAGAGTAGAACAGACACACAATACTGCATGCTCCATTTTTTGCTGATCTTAAGACGAACCTGTTCAGCACTCAAAATAGTGTCTTGAATGTTCTGTGTTCTGACAAACACCATGTTTGGCGAAGTTTTACGGTCCCACACCTCTATTTCGAACAGGACTGGAGGAAAGTAGGAAACTTAGCTGGTTTTCCCGTACCATACACTCCCTATGTGGATAAACCCTTGTTCAGTCATCTGTTTTTCTATTGTCCACTTGTTAGGATTTCAAAATCATCGCAAAATATTTTTCCCTTGTCAGTCTGTCTATCAAACTTCTTTTCAGGCTACTTCTATTGCTTGAATATGCTGCTTCTGAGCATTTCAACGTTTCTATCCACAATCATCATCAATCTTCACACGTATTCGCACAAAAGAGGTCCAGTTCCTCCGTGGATGGTGAAGGTACGTTCATATCAGATGTCGGCTGGCTCAATGCAGAACCATTCCACAGGCAAAGCAGGTTTTCTTCGACCGAGCGTACCCTTAGTCGAAAGCTAATCAGTAGTTTCTCGCCAATCAATATAAAGTGAAATAACTATATTTATTTCGGATTGTCCAACATGATTACATCCAAAGTTCGAACCCGCACACAACTCTCTATGTGAGAAGCTGATGCGTGCTTGTTTTGCATCAAAAGTGCGTAAGTAGTCTGTTGAATACACGGTGTAGTTTGCAGGAGATATAATCGGATGCGCGAGAACCATAACTGGAATACTGGTTCTGGTGGACCATGAGTAGTAAAAACAAAAGCCCGATGCACGGTATTTATTTATATGTTCGCGACACCCTTGCACAGTACATATGGCACTCCGTTTTTAGTTGCTGAATGGCACACTAATCTACCCACATTACTACCCTCCATTACTTCAAAAATAAATGCAAATGCCTTTTGCATCCTTCAGTAATTCATCTGTGCGGTGCTTGTAAACACGAATCCGTAATCTATCTCAGACCAGTATTTATCCTTGGATTCGAAATTATGCACCTACTGCGGACCCCGTGTGAATCAGCCAGACTAATTTTTTGACTTCAGTAGATATCGTATTATCCATTGTGTGCTAATTTACTCCACCATCTTCACTGTCTCTACAGGTTGTTCGCCTGTTCTCAACTCCACTCAGTATATCACGTCCAGAAGAGAATGATGAACCTAGTGAGAAGCTCTCATCGTTACAAGCCAAACTGAAAAAGGCAAGACAGTTTGGTGGAATCGCCAGTCCCCTGGGTGGACCGTATGGTGGCTACCCGATGTATCCCATGAATGCCATGCAAGCAGCTGAACAACAAGGCAGCTACCCACGTTTTAAACAGCTTGTGTATAACCAAGGTTTGCCCCAGGACTACTGGAACAAGGAGACAATGTACCAAGTGGACACCTATCTTAGAGAACAAGCACAAGGAGCTCAGGGTATGAAATGGAGCCAACAGTCCACTCCGGAAATGTTTTTAGACCAAATGCAAGGCCGCACTCCAAACAAAATGCAAGAACAACAGTCAAACGATTCGGATGCGTCTGATCGAAAAAGACAACTATGGCAACAGGCTGATAAGTCTAGGAGAGCCACACTGCAGATACACACAAGTCTAAGTCATCTACGTGACGCATTGAAAAACTTGATGGAGAAGATATCAAAGAAGGATGCATTAGCCAAACGTGCCAGGGATTGGCGTCTTGTGGTTATGACTATCGATCGTCTCTTCTTCTGGTTCTATCTGATGGTAGTGATCGGAGCGGGTTGCTATCTACTGATACCTCGTGGACAGTCACACACTGTGGAAGAGATCATAGCAAGTCATGCAGAGTTGAACAGGGAGAAAAATCTTCAACGAGCGTCAGAATGTATTCTAGAACAAAATGAGCACTACCTGGTGTAGTTTTTTTTCGCCGCCGCGTGTCACCTTGCTTTTCCAACTTGTACCCTCTTAGAAGACTAAGTTTTTTTCTGTCTTTAATTATTGGCGAATCGAATTGGGATTGAAAACACGGAGCATACTGTCTATTGTAGCAATATCATGACGAACGTTCTCACTGTCATCTTCATACGAGAACGTATGGCTAACAACAATTGGCTATAGTGTACCAATTTGAAACGCCTCTTTTCATCAGTTCTATCTTCCGATTTGAGTTTTTATCCAACAACCGATCGATTTTTTGACGTACAGATAACAGTGAGTATTGTTCATCGTTTTCATTTTCAAGTCTGATTGTGGAATAACAATTTCATCATTGAGTAACAATGTTTTGTCTTCTACAACTGGAAACCGGAGTTATGGTGGGAAACAACGTATCGAGCTTTGAATAACAAAACACGGAATTTCACAGCTCCTAAACTTGATCTGTTTGAAGTCGCATTGAGGGAGCTTCTGAGCAGGCAAACCATGACCTTATTGTTCCCCATCTGGTTGGATTTGAGAGCAAAGTGTACGTGTAATTCCGTGACCACAGGGTTCGAACTCTGACTGATACAGAGCACCTCAAGCAAGAAGTGATGAGTCTTACGGTTAAGGCAGATCTTCCAGCGTACTCTCATGATTATCCTGTGAGAATGAATATACGAATACCTTTAATTAGTCACAACAGAGTGTGCGGCGGACAGACTGGGCATACATCCCGTGTGTTAGAATCCTGATGACACCGGGCGAGACCATAGGATACATCCCGGGCTAGTGAACCAAGAAGAGGCTCCAGGAGTTTGTCGGTCCATACAAGTTGCGATTAACCGGCAAAGCCCGATATTAGAAAATTGCAAATGAAACCAGACTTTTCAGGTGAAAGCACGACCAATCAAAATCTGACCCAAATGTCGAATAGATAGATATACGCCAATATTTGGTAGTCGGTGCGAGTTAACGGGGATAGGCGCCATCGTTTAACTACATTTAGTCAAGCCGACTGTCTTTCATTTTTCTGTTGAACTGGATGCCCGTCATGTGACACACGCCCCAACTCTAGTAATCCGCAGGGTATCAGTTCATTCTACTGATATTTGTTCCATGCGTTACTCTCCGGTTCTCATTACAGGGTGGGTCATCCGGCTGGCTTCCACCGATTATGACCTGTATCACTGTCGGTAGACCGCTTACGTTGAACAGGCTGGTCTGTCTACAGGCAGTAAGATCAGTCATGACATCTAGGCATGTTTACCCCGACGGTAAGTACAAACCAACTTTTGAATGCTCCGCTGAAACTACGTCACCGCATACGTCCCCACATAAAAACGTAGCTGTTCTAGACTAAAGTGAAAGGGGACGCGGATTTCAATGCTGTACGATGATGGGGTGGATGGAGACATCAAAACAAAATGAAGACTTTGAGTAATCAGAATGCAGCGGCTTCAGTTGATGATGGAATTCCTACATGAACATACCGAGAAACGATAGGGTAAATGAAGTATGTCAAAGTACGACTTATTTAAACAGATGGAGCGTTTGTGGTCCAATGAAACACCATCTGTGCTTTGTGCACACAGACAGACAAAAATGCATGCCCGCAGATTTCACAAGCCATCGAATGTCGCCAGCGTTTGACGTCAACTGTTCGGACATTGTCATTTTTCTCAGAACCAGATCATATGTGGTTCACTGGTAGCAGTGGTGTCACATGAACAGCATATCACACCATAGTTTGGCTTTCTCGCAGTGAGGAATTTCAGAACCTATGTCTTGCAGAACGGAAGAGTAGGAACGCGTGACGCTGAACATTCTGTCATCCATCCAGCCCACAGCACACCGTGAAGCTTAAAATTGGGAACTCTTATAACCAGAAAAAAAGCACAGATTCCTCTTGGGCTAGAACGCGTGCTGAAATTCGCTGCGATGTGACGATTTGTAAAATACTATTACCCACTGAGTTATACTGGGGATGTATGTGTGACACTCACAGAGCCTGTCATTCCAGGTTGGTCAATTAACACTCTTCTAGTCCTCCAGGCTGGGGTTTGAAACATGTGTGGTTGCTTACTGCTTAAAAATACAGTCTCTGACAGGCTCACGCAAACCATCGCTGCCTTGCGGTTAGGCTTTTGAGCCCAAGGATTGGACTGAGGATCTCAGCTGTCCTACTCACTATATCTGGCGCCCTGACAGTATCTCCGCCCACGTACAACCATGAACTACAAACTTACGATTTACTCTCATGCCGCCGCATGTTTCCATCGTCTGGGATAGCGTTGGGCCAGGAAAAAATTAAGATCTGTGTAACTACTCGAACAGTGGACCCCGAAAATTACACTTTGGAAAGTCATGTCGTGCAAAGTTCTGGTTGGCTGACAGTAATACGGCTAATTTAGAGCAATATTGACTTGGTTCACTCGGTCAAGTAGATATCAGTTAACTGAAAAACAAGAAAGCAACTGGTACGTGGATCACCTGCTATTATGTACCCATTAGCAAGGCAAACTTTGTACATCTTGCGCATCCACTAGCTTATTCGGAGGGAGTTCAATCAAAATTTTCGCTTTGATCTCCGTACCAGAGAATGGATTTAAGATCCACTAAAGGTCTTGAGCATTCATATCGAATTGACTGATCCTACTGGTTTTTGAATTGATAACTTGAAAATACCGTAGCTGGGGTGGAGTGTAGGCAGGAATTATCCAAGAACCAAATTGAATACGGATATTGTCAGCCGTCAGCAAGTTTTGGAGTTGCTTAGATCAGAAAAACATTGCCCATCAGAGCGAGAAATTGGCTACCGTAAACACGAAATTCAATATTTCTCCACATTTTAGAACATGGTGTTCTCCTCAATCTGGATAGGACAAGATCCCATCGAAGAACTTCCGTGTTGGTCTCCCGAACTTTGCCTCCAGATTAACGGACAAAATGTCAGCCAACAGTAAAAGGACCGGAGGATTTTGGGAGCTGTGTCCCTGGTACCAAACAGGGCACACTTTTATGATGAATGAGGAAACAGCACAACTATTTGGGATAGCAATGTTCTCAGCTCAAGTGAGCTACTTTGTTGACAAACTTGTTACCTGCATCGGGTGCATATTTCTGGTGCAGCCAATAGGATTGACAAATGTATTTTTGGGCGCTAGTAATGTTATCATGGTACCAATGTAGTATAGAAAGTCATGAGACCTATCATGACCTATCAGACCTATCATTTCGGCTTCTCAGTGAGAAGTATATAAGTTTGACCGCAGCAAGAAACACTTCAAGGCCAGGAAATATCACTTCTGGCGCGAAGGTAATCAGCTCGAAAGCACCACTCGTACGCACAGTCACTCGGCGAATCCTTATATGAGCCAACAGTAAAGGGACCGAAGGATTTTGGGAGCTGTGTCCCTGGTACCAAACAGGGCACACTTTTATGGTAAATGAGGAAAGAGGACAACTGTTTGGGATAGCTCCAGTGAGCTACTTTGTTGACAGACTTGCTACCTGCATCGGGTGCACATTTCTGGTGCAGCCAATAGGATTGACAAATGTATTTTTGGGCGCTAGTAATGTTATCATGGTACCAATGTAGTATAGAAAGTCATGAGACCTATCATGACCTATCAGACCTATCATTTCGGCTTCTCAGTGAGAAGTATATAAGTTCGACAGTAGCAAGAAACACTTGAAGGCCACGAACTATCACTTCAAACGCGAATGCTACGCACAGTTCGTCCATCGGAGCGGTCATTCGTCGCATCCTGATTTGAGTCCCGGGTTTCGTGAAACCGGATGATCTATTTCTTGAATTAAGGAAAATATCGAACGGTCCGTTAGAAAGCTAACTGAGCTTCGAGATTGGTTCATCTACGTTACGTGACGTAGTGCCGTTCGACGCCTTCTTGAGGAGTTCATGCGGGCTTCCACAAAATCTGATGAGGGTGGGGGATACTTCGTTATTCGGTCAAGTGATTGAGTGTTTTTTCTACAATAGATGCTAAATGTTAACAACGTACCACTGAGCGCCGGCGACGAATTAAACTAAAACCGACTTGCTATCAATCGTTTCTGATGAAAAGAACTGGGTCGATTTAATCAACATAAGTAGATATCTGAATCGCTCTCGATCGCAACTTCGGAGTCAAGTGAGCAATATGCCAGGTCGTAAACAGACCACCATCAAGTTTACCTGTGCTCAGATAGCTGAAAGACCCCCACGCCGAGCACAAGCCTCACAGGCAGTGGACTCTTCACCAAATAAAATGAAGTCATTCGGTCATATGCAGTACATACAAATGGTTGGCCACTCATCTAAAATCAGAACAATGGACTGATGGATTAAGCCCACGGGATGAGGAATGAATCTAAGCAATCATCCCGCTTTCAGACGATAGTACCCTCACGTTTACCCGAAATTCTTCAATTGTGTACTTCTATGTGCCAGGATCAGGTGGACAAACTCAATCAAACAGCCTGTCCCACCGCCATCCTGTGAGCTGTCGTGGTCACGCTGCTATTTATCACCGATCGAGAGATCTTTAACGGTTATACGACGGAGTACAACAGTTAGTCATTTGAAACACGCTGTTCAGGTAAGTCCACTAAGGTTAAACATGCATGTATCCGTGCTTAAACACTCAATCCAACGCTGTCACACACTTTCCACGAATATGGCCAAGCGTTCGTTGCTATTGTGTCTCGGGCAACACTGTTTTCCTTACTTCCACGAGATGGCCTGTATATAGAAAGCCTTCCATCCTAATTAACCGTGCTTGAGAGATTTTGAAGGGATCATTCTTGCTTTTGGAGCTGAGGTGGTGCTGCCGGGTGGATAAAATCAGGACAACCATTTTGACGATCCATGTTGGACTCCTGCATGGGTCCCTATCCTAACGATCGACAAAGACGTGAAAATAGACCTAATTTGCTTCCATACCAACTTGGTTTTAACGGGAGACGCAGCTAAATTCCCTCTGAATCTCTCAATTGAGTATGGTGCATAAAGGCCACCTCGTGTTTCATTCAGTACAACAGACGAAATATCACGGAATATCTTCTTGCCGGAACACTACTCATAAGGCTGCTGAAAACGCTTCGATAACACACGACCCGGCATTTCTCGGATGCCCGAGTTTCATATGAACCCAAGTTGGACGCGATTCGCGTAATACACTCATTTGGTTCCACAAATAGCGTTCTGTTAAGGAATCATACTGCGGTATCTCGAATATCGTGCGAACTGGAACACAAGGGTGCCTGTGTGCAGCACATTCAGTCGAACAGTACGGTAAACGGGAGATTTGGCTGGAATTCAGGTGAGCCTCCCATTGGAATCAAATTAATTTAGTT